AGCAAAACGAAACGGGTCTCGTATCTCCGATTTGAGACGCTTGAATGGCATAATTCCTCAGCTTCTTCTGAATCTCTTGCTTCCTCGATTGCTTCACTGTCTCGGGTAATCCTTGATACTCTTTCGCTGCTGACAATCGGTCGCGAGCCCTGGGCAATGAATAATCTGCAGAAGAAGGACAAAAAAATGGTTTAACAAATGAGCATTCAGTTTTCACAAGTCTGATGATGACTTGTGCGAAATATCCTGAGCAGCGCTAATTCACTCGTATTACTTGGGGTACATGGCAGTTAGTAAATGGAACATTCCATATAAAAATTACACTCGTTAAAGCATCACACGATGTCCTTCATTCTCAACCACATCGTAACACTTTGAAAGAAAGATTAGATGAAACAATTTACTGAAGAAAATACGGCATTCCGGGTGTTCAGCGAGAAGTCATAGGAAACTAAAATATCTTCAACTCAAGTTGAAAATAAGTTATTGAACCTCCATAACTCGAAGACCTGCTCATGTCGATTTACTTTTTACTCTTAGGAGTCCCTTCGAAACAATTCGTTAAAAACCTTCCCAACTCAAACGCTTTGCCCTCAAACCTCATTATTTAGAATTTTCTGGAGGCGTTTTGGCTCATATTTCATTGACAAACGAAACAGAAAAACAATTGAAATGTAACTTGATGCATTTCGAAGGGACGTGACCAAATATTCGGGCAAACGAATCCTCGCCTCCAAGTTCAGCCTCCTGTCAACTCATTCAAGAAGCATTTTAAGGCCCAGTATATCACCAATTACAATTTCCTGTAAATCTTTCTTTGTTTCCTTGAACAAAAATGCTTGTTTCCCTCACTCTAATTTTTTTCTGGCCCCTTCAAGTTCGACTTAACATTAAATTGACTGCAGTTGGAAGCGCTCAGACCATATACAGTTAGTATGTGAAAATTCGCCCACACACGATCGATAACGTTTTGGAAGACAAGTTTTTCAATAATAAATGAACGATACCCCGGGTGATTCACTCAAAAACTCACGAGCAAGAAAAACCCTGGCATCTTTCAAAGCGACTGGCCCCTCGTGATACCAAGTAACTTTATGATCCAAAGCATCTTCCCGCTGACGTTCAGCAGCCGAGTCCAAAGGTGCAAGCATGCCCTTGAGTTTCTTCAGGGCCTCCAAACCACCAGAACGAGATAAATAGTCCCTGAGGCGATTCCTCCGATCAGCTGGACCTTCTCCGAATAAAGTCATGGGTTCTCCCACGGCTCGCAGTTGCAATCGAACTTCTGAATCCACCGTCGACACGTGGATTTGACGCGCGAGTTTCCGGCGCTCAAATTCTTCCAAAAGCGATTTCCGCTCATCGTTCTCAGCGCTCTCCAATTGCATGTATTCTGAAATTTGACAAAATGTAGCTCTTTAAAAGAACCCATAAATTGATCAAGGACTAANAAATAATAACTCACCATCCTTGGTAAAAGGGGTGGCCATTTCATCGCCGTCCACGTTCACTGTCGAAGGTACATTTTCATCGTCTTCATCGCTATCCCCAGCTTCGGCCTTTTTGACAGCTTTTGCCAAAATTCGCAAGCGTTCCGCTTCTTCGATAGACCCATAGTGAACACCCGGTTTTGCCTTACGCTGTTTCAAACGCGCGAGCGTGTCTGCTTCTTCGTGATCCATTTCCTCGTCACCAGCCATTTTCAAACGAAATAAAAGTATTTCCCTGCCACAAAATTCATAAAAATATCGTAAAAAGAATACATGCTGAGTAAGAGGAAATCAATCGTGCGACAACATGGAAAATGTTTTATCCGAGTTGCATCTCTTCACCACAATCATCATCAGCGTCTTCTTCATCACTGTCGTCAGATTCTTCATCGTCGTCGGAATCACTCGACTCTTCAGAATCGACTTGCATCGTGTCTTCCACCACCTCAGGAGGTATCAGGCACTTCCATTCATCCAATTTCTTCAGGTCAAGACTGTAAAAATCTGCATATGTGACTTCTCCACCACTCGGCTTTTCGTGCAGGCCACCGAAACAATACAGAACACTGTTTTTGATCGTCATCCCAGAGCTCATCCTTGGAGACGGTTGGCACATTGGGATTGCAGCTGCAGCACCTTGTGGTCCATCGGAACGGGGTTTCATGGGATCCGACTTCAAGCTTGGACCAACTGTGATCGTGAAAATGCCATCTTCAACAGTCTTTGTCTCCTGAAAAACATGCACAAAACGGCCGAAATTTAATCTCAAAAAGTTTCTAAAAACCAGCTAACTTCGTTCTGATCTCGAAGGAACGGTAGTCTAGAAAACCACTGACAAATGGAATAAGCTAAGGCGCCCTTTTTTGCGTGATCTACAGTTTAAAAAAAGTATTAGCATATAATTGACTCGATTATTTCTCTTTGAAGTGGCGTTTTTGTTCCGAACTTCAGAAAGAAATGTGATCATCTCATTCGATACGTTATTTAACATACAGTATTTTTGGATACAGTCAAACCCCGATAAGCCGCCAAAATTTGTTTGTGTGGTTTGTTGCGGTTGGTGGCTTTCAAAAAGCTAAATGATTGCAAAAATCTAGTACAACGGGAAATAAAAGTAGTATTCTCTCAGAAAACAGTAGAATAACCCTGGGATTCATGATCCCAAGAAGCAAATGATGTCACTTTCGTCCCTTTTTCTATTGGAGACCTCACATAGAACCTTCGGCGGGTTACAGACAAAATTAATCGGCAGGAGCATATCTGAGTCGTTGATAATTTGAACGGATGGGGTATCAACAGGGTTTAAAACGCTATTATCATAAGGGAACATCTGCTTTTCAAAATAAAATGGCGGTTGCGGAGAGTGGCGGCTTCTCGGGGTTCGACTTGTCATTCACAGACGTGTTGATGAGTGAAGGACTTGAGAGAAAGAGATCATCCCATAAATATTTTCTCCAGATTGAGAAAATCTTTCGTAGTTAAATTGCGAAGTACAGTACAGGATTTTTACAAAAAGCTGAAAATAATCTCACTTCTTCGACTGGCGCAGGGTCACCGCCACCACCATTAGCAGTAGCATCCTCAACACCATCCTCATCATCTTCTTCTTCTTCACTCGTCGCTTCATCTTCTGCTTCACCCTCGGCTGCTTTAACTTTCCGACGACGCTTGTGTTCCTTCAATGCCCTCGGGCCACTTAACTCAACTAGGGACCAAGAAGGCTTCGTCAAGTCAACAAGGTACAAGTCGTTGAAAAACGTCGACGTGGAAACTTCTTCCTCTTCGTCAGATGAATCACTGAGAACCTCTTGTTCCTCATCGTCATGAACTCCTCCAAAAACGAGAGCCGAATTTTTGCCGGACTCTGTCCAAGCCACGAGGGTAGAACTGCAACGTTTCGAAGGCACAGATCCAGTAGTTTTGGCCTGAAAGGAACGTATATTTCTTCAGAACAGGTTTAAAGATCAACTATTATGATGACAAAAACATACGAACGAAGAGTATCCACTGAAGGCGATGGAATCAATTGCGTTTCTTTTAAAATTAACGCTTTTTTTAAACCAGAATTTCATGATTGGAATGAAACATGCTTTTTACATAACAGGAATGTAAAGCAAATAATGTCGAAAACATGGAAGGTTAATTTTATAAGAGAAAAAACCAAAACATAACTTCGAGTTTGTCATTTAGTTCATTTATCCCGGTTCATTTTGCACCGAGTATATTCTTTTTGGAAGCAAAAAAATCAGCCAAAAAATGTATGGCAAAAGAAAAATACTTGAGATGCTGATTTCATACGAGAAAAATTAAAACACATTGTAATTCCGAGATTTCATCTTATATTTAATTTTTCCTGTTTTTCTTGACTGGTAGTATAGCAAATGCAGTACTGTAATACACACTTGAATCCACTTGAATTTGGTCCCCGTCGTATCGCGTTTGTCCGGGGTTAGAAAGAACGAGTCCGCGTGAACAACTCCAGTTTCATCGTCGAATCCC